TCTTCTATCTGCCCTCCGTCCTCCCCTTCAGGCTTCTATCTGACCTCCGTCGTGCCCTTCAGTCTTCTATCTGCCCTCCGTCCTCCCCTTCAGGCTTCTATCTGACCTCCGTCGTGCCCTTCAGTCTTCTATCTGCCCTCCGTCCTCCCCTTCAGGCTTCTATCTGACCTCCGTCGTGCCCTTCAGTCTTCTATCTGCCCTCCGTCCTCCCCTTCAGGCTTCTATCTGACCTCCGTCGTGCCCTTCAGTCTTCTATCTGCCCTCCGTCCTCCCCTTCAGGCTTCTATCTGACCTCCGTCCTCCCCTTCAGCCTTATATCTGACCTCAGTACTTCCATTCCCTCTTGCACACTGGTACCGGCTCCTCTCCTCTTCCTCTGATGTCACTGTACACTGGACGCTCCTCACAATGTGCATTAGGAGCTGCAGAAAGTCGGATAGAGCCCACCTCATTTCCTGGCTGGGGGACGTCCAGCGTCATCTATCGCTTTTCTCCCCAGCCTGACTGTCCATGGCCCCGCCCCTTTCATTCATTGGATTTCAGATCTGCCAATCATGGAGGCTCAGCATTACAGGTGGGCGTTATCTAGGCAAAGACAGACTGCCTAAGAATGCCCGCTCCCCCAGACTGACATCCACCCATCAAGGCTTTTTGATGTTTGCATAACTCCTCCCACTGCTTGCATGAGGGCTGAAGGCTCCTGAGAGGAGTGCTGAGTCAGGGTGCTGTGATGTTTTCAGGAAGCTATGTACAGCACCCTGCCGGCTCCTCCAACCAGCCTTAATCTGCCTGCATTGCACAGAGAAGCCTGGAGACGGAGTGATGACATCACTGGGTATAAAATAAGTACAAATCTGTAATGAAAGTGGAAATTGTCATTATTCTATTGATTGGGGGGTGGGGTTGGGGGGGGGAGGAGTCAGGGAAGACTTAATGCATAACCAGATTAAACGTCATCCTTAAAAACAAAACACATTTCACCCCAGATTTGTAGTCCTCCCTCCACAAACGGAGCCAAGATGTGTTGAGCCGGCCTCTCCGTTCCTGTGGTTTGGACAGATTGAGTCACCGTCATGTGACTGGCCGGGGGTGACACTTTCGGAAACATTGTCTGGAATAAACGTGATCCCGTGTCACTCGCGGTCTCCTTGGGCATCCCCTTCCATGGAGCTGTGCTGAGATGACGGAGCGCGGTAACCCGTAGCGATCGGCTCTCGTATTTCCAGAGACGGAAGAAGAGCTTACAATCTAACGGGGGAGGGCAGGAAAGCTGCAGCAGGACGTGTACCGGCAGACAGTCGCTCTGCGTATGGGAACCGGAACCAGAAAGCATTGCAACTGTGATCAGTAGATGGTGGGCGCAATGCTCTGCAGACTCTCCTTACTTTCCATGTCCGTACCTTGTAAGGGGGGTATAAGTGCAGTGCAATGCTCTGCAGACTCTTGCCTCCTGTCTATGTCCGTAACGTGGAGTGGAGTACAAGTGCAGTGCAATGCTCTGCAGACTCCCTCTACCGTCCATGTCCATACCTTGGAGGAAGAATGAATGGACAAGTGCGGTGCAATGCTCTGCAGACTCCCTCTACCGTCCATGTCCATACCTTGGAGGAAGAATGAATGGACAAGTGCAGTGCAATGCTCTGCAGACTCCCTCTACCGTCCATGTCCATACCTTGGAGGAAGAATGAATGGGCGAGTGCAGTGCAATGCTCTGCAGACTCCCCCCTACTGTCCATGTCCATACCTTGGAGGAAGAATGGAAAAGTGCGGTGCAATGCTCTGCAGACTCTTCCCTCCTGTCCGTAACGTGGAGTGGAGTACAAGTGCAGTGCAATGCTCTGCAGACTCCCCCCTACTGTCCATGCCCATACCTTTGGAGGAAGAATGAATGGACAAGTGTGGCGCAATGCTCTGCAGACTCCCCCCTACCGTCCATGTCCATACCTTGGAGGAAAAATGAATGGACAAGTGCGGTGCAATGCTCTGCAGACTCTTCCCTCCTGTCCATGTCCATACCTTGGAGGAAGAATGAATGGACAAGTGCGGTGCAATGCTCTGCAGACTCTTCCCACCTGCCCATGTCCATACCTTGGAAGAAGGATGAATGGGCGAGTGCGGTGCAATGCTCTGCAGACCCTTCCCTCCTGTCCATGTCCATACCTTGGAGGAAGAATGAATGGACAAGTGCAATGCTCTGCAGACTCTTCCCTCCAGTCCATACCTTGGAGTGGAGTGCGAGGCTGAGACTGTTTCCCTATACATCAGTATCCAGCCCTGGACCAGACTGTGGACTTTGTATTGGGAGACCCCCCCCCCCCCCCCCCCCCCCCCCGTGTCCCCAGCCGCTGATCCAGCAGTTTCCTGTGGCCTGGAACTGCTGATGAGCCCGGGGCAGACACACCGGCCGAAGAGTCTCTGCAAGAAAGGTGGCGGAAGAAGAATTAGGGTATGAACAGCAAAAACAGGTCAAAGCTAAAAAAACAAAGAGTAATATGCAGTATTAAAAGTATTAAGATAAAATAAAGAAAATATCCAATACAGCTCTGAAATACATGCACAATTAACCGTCTTTTGACACTTTACCAGGGCTGGATTTACTCTCTCTGTTGCCCCAAGGCCAGGTTCCTCAATGCGCCCCCCCTA